TCGAATTATGTTAAGACCATTTGCCATTGGGATATTCTTCCGGAGAGAGTGGTTTCTCGAATATGTATTTTATGGGATCCATTTTAGAGATCAACAAAGTAGTATGAGTCAGCATATACTGTCTTAGTCAGCGAGAAACCCATGCAAAAGCGCATCAAGTTTTCTCGAGCAGTGAGTATCTTGTTTCACAGTCGGTAATCTTTTTGATAAGGTAGTATATTGCATGCTCTTTTCGACCAAACTCGCCATGTTGGCCCAGTACACACCCTATTGAGTTCTCTAATACTGTTATGTACATGATCAGAGATCTTCCTTCAACTTATGGCATCAAGACCGGAGTTTCTTGGTGGTACTCCTTGATTTTGTCAAAGGTTGTTTGGTAGTCGTTGTTCCACTTCACTACCCGATCTTTATCTAGCAACTCAAAGATCGGCTCACAAGTAGCGGTCAAATGAGAAATAAATCTGGCAATATAGTTCAGTCGTCCCAAGAAACCTCTGACTTCCTTATCAGTACAGGGATATGGAATTTCTCAAATGGCTTTGACCTTGGTGATATTAACTTCAATACCTTTACCATTGACAATGAACCTTGGAGTTTACCAGATCTCACCCCAAAAGTGCAGTTGTTCGGATTCAATCTCAGCTTGTATTTCTTCAGTCTCTTAAACTGCTTGTGTAGAAGGCCCATATGTTCTTCCTCAGTCTGAGACCTTGCTATGATGTCGTTAATGTAAACCTCTATCACGTGGTCTATCATTTCATGGAACAAAGCTACCATAGCACGCTAATATGTCACACCGACATTTTTTAACCCAAAAGGCATAACCTTGTAACAGAAAGTCCCTTACTGTGTGAGAAAAGAAGTCTTCTCCATGTCTTCTGCTGCCATCTTAATTTTACTATAACCAGAGAAACCATCCATGAAGGAGAACACTTTATGTTGAGCAGTGTTATCAACCAGAAGATCAATATGCGGCAGCATAAAGTCATCTTTAGGGCTTGCCCTATTCAGATCCCTGTAATCTACACACATACGCACTTTTCCATCCTTCTTAGGTACTGGAACCATATTTGCAACCCACTGAGGATAGGATGTAATAGCTAAGAAACCTGTGTTGAATTGCTTCATAACCTTAGCCTTGATCTTTTCGGACATCTCGGGATATGTACGACGAACCTTGTGCTTTATTGGAGAATACCCCTCTTTCATCAGTAGACGGTGAACCACAATATTAGTATCAAGCCCTGGCATGTCTTCGTATGACCAAGCAAAGATCTCAACATAGTCATGCAACATTCGGATTAATATGTCCTTGAGACTGTCTTCTAGGTTGGCGCCTATCTTGACATCTTTCATGTCTGCTTCAGTACCCAAGTTTACAAACTCCACTGGCTCTTCATGTGGTTGTATAGCCTTTTCCTCTTGCACTAACATCCTGGCAAGTTCTCCAAGTATTTCAAAATCTTCCTCATCTTCTTCCTCGACTTGGTAGATCAGATTCTTGAAGTCATAAGTGGAAATAGAAAAATTGTTATCGACGGGATCCAAAGTGGATGTGGATCTCCAATTTACTGTGTGGGTGTGTGTAAGAATAGATAGCTATTTTGAAAGTGTAATAAAGTAAAAAGAAAGACAAAGAGAGCAAAATTTGAATGCAAAATGTCCGATGTTTTATTGAATGAAAATATGCTTATGAAATGACAACCCTAACAAATGAACCATTGTGCCCCGGGTAAGACACAAGGCTTAAAGTAATTGTTTAAAATTACATAACCAAAACATCAAAAGTAATAAATAAACATAAAATGGAATTTACTCTTGACTAAAGGAGATTGAGATAAGTTCTTTGGTCTTCCAGTTTCTAAGCTCATTGTCAATGGTAGGAAAGATCCCGCTATCTAGGTTGTAGTAACTATCCACATCTTCTATAGCGTATACTCCATTAATGGTGACGCAAAATGGCGGTCTTCTGAAACGAGCACGACAAACAGCCCTCTGCGCCTCTACAGTAAAACTCAAACCAAATTTGTTAGATTTATATAGAATGTCATGAAGCTGACCCCAAGTAGTACAACCACCTTCTTCTACTACAACTCTAGCATCCTTCAAAGAAGCCATCCTGAATGGAACCTTGGGATTAGCAGAAACGTCTTCAGTAGCAGTAGGAGGGATAACTTCAAAAGTCAGGCAAGGAGTTTTAATGAATTTGCTGTCCATCTAAACATACATGAATGAGTTTAAATGACTCACAATATGCTATTCTTCATCGCAATATGTAACAACCTTTCCTTTCACAGGATACTTCATCTTTTAATGTAGGGTTGAAGTAACAACGCTTTCCCCATGAATCCAGGGGCGTCCGAGTAAAAAAGAATAAGCTTGTCGAATATCCATCACATATAAGGTCAATTCGAATACCTGCAAACCTACCTTAATCAGAAGATCCACTTCTTCATGTACCATCCTCTTTGACCCGTCAAAGGCTCGTACTATATTATTATTGGGTTTCAGTACAACCCCTTCACAGTCAAGTCTGTCTAGAGCACCCTTTGTTAGGACATTCAATGAGGAACCGTATCAATCAACACATGAGATAAAGTAGTGCCCCTGCATTTCATAGAGACATACAGGGCCTTGTTGTGGCTTCTTCCTTCAGGGTTCAAATTGGCATCAGAAAATCCTAGACCATTATCACTAGTTAGGCTAGTGACATAACTTCCAAATTGATCGGCAAAAGTTTCTTGTGGCACGTGAGTGGATTTTAAGAACTTCACCAAAGCCTACGCATGGGCTTCAGAACACAATAACTGGGATAACATGGAGATTTTAGAAGGGGTCTGCCCTAGCTGTTCAACAATCTTGTAATCAATTTTTTGGATTATTTTCAATACCTCCTTCATTTCTTGCCTAGAGATATCTTCAGTCATAACTTCTTTAGGTTCCTCCATCAGGGCAGGCTCTATCATTTTGTCTTTGCCCTGAGTCTTAGTAGTTTACTTGGTAGAGGTAACTCGAACTGGTGTGGCAATAGTCTTTGGAAAGATTTTCGGGGAGAAAACCCTTCTGCTTCTAGTAACTTTACTGGTCCCAGTAATATTGTCAATAGCGGGATCAGGAACTTCAGTACCTTCATTCTCAATATTCAATATTTCTTGTTTGATTCCATGGTAGTAGAAGTCGACTCCATTAGTTCTAAGGGACATCTTTGTCTGAGGAATATGAACTAGTCTGGGAGCGATGATTACTAGAGAAGCAACTCTAGAATCAACTTTAATCTTCACAGGGCCTTTGGTAGTGATCTTGATAGGATTTTAAGAAATTACGGATGATTCTTGAAACAAGTTCTCAATATAAGGAATCTTTTTAACGATACTGATATGGTTGTCCATCAGACGTTGAATACCTTCTTTCAGCAACTCACAACCATTGGGTTGGGCTGCATGAAACAACCAACTGAACAAATAACTGATAATGAAATCAATGAAGTCTCCATCGAACGTTTTTTATCCCACATGAAGGGAAAGGTAAACATCGAGTAAACCTGAGAAGGGTAAAATCACGATCAAATGACCGAGAGATATGGGTAAGGGAGTCTGTTACGCGAGGAGAAGGTATTAGCACCCCATACGCTCGTAGTACTCTATGGTATCCACTCTTGTTGTCCTAATCAAAGGGTGTGTAATAATTTATATCTAAGTTGTACACGAAATGCATGCAAAAGAAAGGAGACAAGAATGTAGGTAAAAATAAATTTGTGCTGTTCGGGCCCTTCCACAATTCCTACATATCCCTTTTAAGGAATCAGAGTAGCCGTAGTTCGGCTCCAACTGTTTTTGTTGGTTTGTATTTTTTAATGTACAATATTAATTTCGCCTTCTTCCGCAGCTCGACCTTTGGAGACTCACGTGTCAGCACAGAAGTGAATTAACATGTTCTTTCTGAAAATTTTGAAAGAAAAGCCCGAAGGCGCAAAATAATTTGCATTGGTTGGTATCTTTTACCTTAAAGAAGGATTTAGAAGTTGTTAGATGTTTTGTGCTTTTTCTCAAGAAAAAAGGAAGTTTTAGTCTTAATGAATGGATGCAAAAGAAATAAAAATCATCTAAGGGAGACTAACCTATATCTATCCCTAATTTTATCATACAACGATTAATCCTAAGGTTTAGTTTTGAAATGGAAATCTCTACCCTAAGTTAGCATGCATGGATACTTATCCTAACGTCTAGCTCGAAGACTACTCTAGTCGAGCGATCCTAAGGGAAGCATAGTATAGAAAACAAATAAGCAAACAAGTACTTTGGCAAAAGAACAGAAACATGAGTAGCACATACTGACTCAAAGGGGTGGGGAAACAAGAGAAATGATTTAGCTAATGAGAGCGTATCACCCGAAGCAAACAAGCATGAGACGGATGAAAAACAAAAATATGACGTCCAAAGCGACTGAACACCTAACCAATATATAGAAGATCGAGGTAGGCGACATAAGACGATATGAAAGATCACGGAGTGTCAGCATTGGTCAATTCGAACTCCTGACAAAGCGTGGGGGTTTGATTACAAAACCCTTCCCCACTTGACGAACTCAATACACAAGATTTGCACCACTCCGAAGCATCGACGTACAACGTGAGTTAAGGATGACAGGTCTAGAATGTGCGGGGGTCGATTACGGACCCTCCCCACTCGCCTCCTTTTGAGGACTTATCATCTATAATATAATGCAGGCACAAATGTAAACACGCGTGCAAAATACCTACTTCAAAGGTAGGATTTTAAACAAACACAAATAGCATACAGAAAGCAGTTTCTGCTACAGGACTTTAAACAGGTATTTTGAGCGCACGCTATTTATTTTATGTTTCCTACTTCACATGGTCTCTAGAAAGCTATAAATGCCCCTACTATACATGACCTCTAGAAAATCGGTAAAGAAATGTAACAAAGTGCAAAAGAGTAGAAAGGTAGTAGCAACGACTACCAAAAGCGAGCAAATCGTCAAGAGAGGATGAAAGCAATGGAGAAGTAGGGAATATGCGTCGAGCAAGCTTCACCAAGAAACAAACGAAGTCAGAAATGATATCCAATTAAAGTAAAAGTAAATGCATGATTAGAAGTTCATTTACAAAGTATCACAAAATATCGCACATATCAGGACAACATATGAACTTCTCAGGATGATGAGAAGTAAGGCATGCCGCATCCGGAGCGAGCATGAACCGCATGCTTATATCACATAACAACCTGTTATATTCCGTGATCGAAAGCCCAAAAAATATACCTCGCACCATGAACAAACGCGTCAAAAATGGAAAAGCGATATGAAAATACTGCTAAAAATTTATATAGAGAAAGTATTTATTATTATTATTTTTAGTTTTTATGTAGGGAGTATTCTAAGAAAAAACTAATGAATTAATTCCTAAAAATTAAACTTTATTATTGTTTTTTTTATCGCTTTTATTATATCATGACAAAAATATATAAAAAAAGTCTAAATGAAGACATTAGTTTAGGGGGGTATAAAAAACTGGAGTCAGGGGTGTATAAATCTGAGCGCTAGGCCCAGCTAGAGTGAATCCAAGAAACTGTTTTTTTTATTGCCCAACACAAGTTTCAAACAAATTTAAAGGAAAAAAAAAAAGCTCAAAATGTAGTGCTAGCCTGCCCGGTAAAAGGGGGGGGTATGTTACTGAATTTTGGAAATCAGCTACCATAAGTACAGTGACACTACGCCCGCTAAATACAAGTGTTATTCAGCCCAACTTACTTATGCCTAAGTCCAAATGTCCCAACAAAAATCAGTCCTCCATTTTCTGCTACCATTATCATTATTGTGTCACATGTTTAATCAATCATCCCTTTAATTAAAAAATGAAAAAAAGAAATAGAAATGATGATAAAACAGATAACACACATGTCCAATTATGCACTGCCACGCGAGTTATTTTTAAATGAACAAAACAAAATTATCATGACCAGTTATCTTCCGCCACGTCACATGTTCATGTAATAGAGACAAAACCTTATCATTCTACAATAACATCATCTCCAGCGTGAAGAACGCCTCTCATGGTGGTGATCAACACGAAACCTCAACGGAAACACGATTGAAACGGCTTCCCTTACTCGAAATCTTGCGGGGATCACATATTCACAATTATATTCTGTTAATACTAACTAAGATCACACAAAATCTTAATCACACCAAACGGATCTTGAAACAAAAAAACGAGATAATGGAACTAGCGCTCAAGTATGCGTCTAACGCCAACATCAACATATTTACACAACTTCAGATGCGATGAAATGCTACTTAGCTCATGGTGAACTTAGTACGAAATATCGAGAGATTTTGAAACTTACCGTAACGAAGACCGAATCTTGCGCTTCCCTTAGATAACTCTACAACTGCAATCCTATTTTCTTGACAATGAAAACTGATATCCTCAGAATCCTTGAATCTTGTTGTGATCTTTGGTTTACTCGCTACAAAATGATGAAGAAGACGGAAGCGTCAAAGCTGCTGGATACACTTCACTACGAAATAAATGCAAGCAAAGTTTTTCCGCTTGTAGTGAGAAGGCAGAATGACTCTTGACTTGTTGCAGATGATGAAGAACGAAAAAGAAGACGCATGTTCTCGCCGAAGCAATCCGAAAGAGAGTCTCAAAATTTTGTGAGGAGCATGCCATGAGAGAGCATTGTTGAGAGCTCCTTTTGTTATTGGTGAAGACGAGAGGAAAGAGAGTTTGTTGAGAGAGAGAGAGAGAGCATTCAGGTTCTGTTATTCTTGAGAGAGAGATAACAATTATGTTACCATTGAGAAAGAAAGAGTAATTTTGTGTTGTAAAAGAGAATGAATGAGAGAGAGCGCCCCCGAGTTTGTTACGTGGAGTTGTTTTGATGAGAGAGAAAGAGCATTGTGAGGTTGTTGCATGGTTAGGGGAAGAAAATTTTTGGTATGTGTAGAGAGAGTGAATAAAATTCTGTTATGTTCCTGTTCATGCATGCAACTTGAATTATCGCATGAACATGTAGTAATAAAAGCATTAATCCCTACATGATATAATACAGTAGCTCTTTTCCTCAAAGATTTCTCTACTATACATGGTCACGTAACCTCCTTTGCGCTCGTATATCTTGAACTATAACATTCCTAACGACAAATTTTTGGTATGTGTAGAGAGAGTGAATAAAATTCTGTTATGTTCCTGTTCATGCATGCAACTTGAATTATTGCATGAACATGTAGTAATAAAATCATTAATCCCTACATGATATAATACAGTAGCTCTTTTCCTCAAAGATTTCTCTACTATGCATGGTCACGTAACCTCCTTTGCGCTCGTATATCTTGAACTATAACATTCCTAACGACACAATCTTAGCATCACTGAAAAGAGGACACATCAAGGTGCATTTTTTATGTTGGCCTCACGTCGAAATAGCACCTATAGCATGCCTTAAAATGACCCTAAAGTCAAGAAATCATAACTAAAATAAATATTGGTAATTCTCTTAACACTGACGATTATACGTCAATACCCTAACCTCTACTTTATGGCTTAATAACTTGAAATATAAAATTCTTCAGGATGAGATCTCAATGTCAAAGTTGAAGAGGGAATTTCTCTAAACAACTTTCATGTTGGAAGCTTCTTGAAATAACGCTCGAAACGTACTCAAAAATGGTCCCGAAGTCATAATATCAAAACTGGCTGTAGTGGCTGAAAATTCACCAAGTAGAAATCAACTTCATTATCATGATTTCAAAACCTCGTAACTTTCCCAATAATAATCCAAATGCCACAAAATTGATACCGTTAAAAAGAGGACAAATGATAGAACAAGTTTATAGTTAATCCACAGTCCGAATAAGGCCTCGATCATAGAGAAAAATTGTCATGACTGTACGCCTTGCAACTGCTCGACGAAATTTCAAGCCTATCAAGGCAAGTCCTACGCATGACACCATGCGTTTTTTCCATTTCGACCTTCCTACTTGGCACCTCGATATCTTTCTCCACGATGCATAAAAAGACAAGAAATTTAAACCAAAACTAAAGAGTACGCAACACACTCAATCTTTCATGATCAACATTTTTCGAAACGATAATTAAATCCGTGGTAAAAAAACATCTTAAACGTGTACACGCAACCTATTCGATAAAATGTCGGCCTGACAAGGCAAGTCTTGGCAGCATTTTGCCTCTCTAGCCCTCAAAACGTAAACATCATAACTTTCTCTACGAGCCTCCAAATGGGATGATTCTTCAATCAAAATCGGAGAAGAGACTCTAATCTTCAACTTTTATATTTAGAGATTTTTCATTTGAGTCTAAATGGGACCTTAAAAGTAGCCCTGAAGTTCGCCACGTTTTTAGAAAATCTTTTGAAAATTACTAAGTGTTCATATTACTTAAAATGCAAGAAACTTCAAATTCGGTTGATTCTTTCGATTTTTCTCAACGGCTTATCAAATTTTCTCATCTTTTGACCTTTTTTAATAATTTTTGACAAAAAATATAATTTAGTCAACCTTTGACATTTGTTGACTTTTACTCATGCACACTTAAATCTCTTCCTATTCAATTGACATTGATTCTTCTGATAAAAATATGGAGAACAGTAGACCACATGCAGATACTTTTAATGCAGATGGAGAACCATTAGATCATCTTAAGCTTGAAAAATCAGTTAAATCATGTCATCGATCAAGAACACTAATTTCATTACAAAGATAGGAGCTGGAATATCTTGAAGAACTCTTGTACCCATATATGTCGTGACTTGAGATGGTGTTTAGGATGAAAAGACTTCAGATACTTGACCCTTGAAGATAGATCTTCTTCTCTTGGGCAATATTCACTTATCCAGCCAAACCCTTGATCCCATGTCATCGAGTTAACGCAATACAAATGGTGAATATGATGATGAAGAATAAGCCATTTTGCTTACAAGTAAGAGGGCGAAGGTGAGATTGGCGCCAACCTTTCGAACTTTCAAGGTGGAAGAAGATTAAATACTTAAAAGAACCCAAAAATTTGCACTCTTGATATTTTTAGTTCTCAAAATAAAAACACGTCGAGAAAAGATGAAACTTGACCAATAGAAAGTATGTCGGACAAGGGCAAAACTCATCAGAGATAGGAACATCGGGCAAAGATGAACCTAACAAAATGGAAAGTGCACCAGACAAAAGTGGACTTAACCAAACAGAAAGGTATCAGGGGTAGGTAACTTAGTGAGGATAAAAAAAATACGTGTCTAGTCAACTTAGACATATATGGAAAGAGACTGATCAAAACATGCTCATATTAGGTAAAGGGATGATCGAAATATAACCTGACCGGAAATGTTAGCTAAGCTAATAGATGGTAAATCTGATCAAAATGAATAAACCTGAGAGAAGGAACTGATCAAAACAGAACCTAAACAAGGGAAGGAAATGATAAAAATATAACCTGGTCGGAAATGTTAGCTAAGCTAATAGAAGGTAAATCCGATCAAAACGAATAAATCAAAGAGAAGGAACTGATTAAAACAGAACCTAAACAAGGGAAGGAAATGATCAAAACATAACCTAACCGAATATGTTAGCTAAGCTAACAGAAGGTGAATCCGATCAAAATGGATAAACCAAAGAGAATGAACTGATCAAAATAGAACCTAAACAAGGGAAGGAAATGATCAAAACATAAACTAACCGAAAATGCTAGCTAAGATAACAAAACGTAAACTTGATCAAAACGGATAAACCAAAGAGAAGGAACTGATCAAAACATAACCTAAACAAGGGAAGGAAATGATTAAAACATAACCTAACCGAAAATGTTAGTTAAGCTAACAGAAGGTAAACCCGGTCAAAACGGATAAACCAAAGAGAAGGGACTGATCAAAATAGAACCTAAACAGGGGAAGGAAATGATCAAAACATAACCTAACCGAAAATGTTATCTAAGCTAACAGAAGGTAAACCCGATCAAAACGGATAAAGCAAAGAGAAGGAATTGATCAAAACAGAACCTAAAAAAGGGAAGGTAATGATCAAAACATAACTTAACCGAAAATGTTAGCTAAGCTAACAAAAGGTAAACCCGATCAAAACGGATAAACCAAAGAGAAGGAACTGATCAAAACAGAACCTAAGCAAGGTAAGGAAATGATCAAAACATAACCTAACCGAAAATGTTAGATATATGGAAAAGAGACCGACCAAAACAGACTCCAATCAAGATACAATGATCAAAGGCGGACCCACCGAAAAAAAGAAAACTAGCCAAAGATAGACTTTTAGAGATAGAACACTGACCAAAGGCGGACTTTCTAGGGATGCCAATAAACATCGACTATGAATAGAATGTCGACCGAAGAAGAACTTATGAAGAAAAGATACCAGCCAAAGGTGACTCTAAACAAGGATTGTAAACACGCGCTGGGCTTTAAGAGATTGCAAATACGCAAGAATTACAAAATGCCTCAGGCCAAAGGAGGGTGTAATTCTTCAAGAGTGGAAATCATCTGAACTATCACACACCAAGTATGGATACTCAAATACTTGATAAATAAGAAAGGCTATACACCGACTCTTACTCGCACTCTGACGACAAAGCAAACAAGGGTAAAATAACCAAAGGCTTGCAAGGGAAAGACAAAACCACGACTTACTGAGGAAATGGAAGATATCAATGACCTGACATACTCTGTTAGGGAAACAGAATAGGATCACCCAAAGCTTGTTATGGAGATAACTCAAATCTAAGCGCATAACAATCTAGTTACTGCAAGTAAACACAATTGTCTTATACTTATGCATGTTTGAATTTTTTTTGCGTAATGCCCCAAACATGTGAATTCTATGAATTTTAGTAGATGCAATGTAATGATGTATGTTTATCAGTGCACTGGGAAAGCACATCAATAATCGGCTGCTGAGAAGACAATGAACTTCTGAACGATTATCTTGCACATCTGATCTTCTGTATAGAAAAGGCAATTTGAACCCCAATGGGGAGCCGAAATTCGGAACCACCAACCTCTAAAGATTGATATCACTGAGGAAGTAACTTCTCGATGATAAATACTACAAAAATAAATTGCAGTTTATAGAAAATCTTGAATTCCGATCAAACTCCCAACATCCTGGGTGTGATACGGTGGCAGAACGGGAACTGTTTTTAGGAACATGCTGGTTTGCTTTTTTGCGTTTGTGTTCGCAAAATGTCGCGGTAAGCAAGAGTTGCCACCGACTTTTATTTTATCCAACCGGAAAGGAAAAAAGCACAGAAAAATTCCTTTTTCGAGATATTCTGAGTACGGGGGGTAGATTATAGAAATGGAAGGTATTAGCACCCTTTCTATCTGTGGTTTTCCACGGGCTCTTAGGTACTTGCTCATCATTTTAAAAATTGATTTCGTTTTTGTGTGTTTGAAAAGTTTTTGTTTTACTTCGACTTAACCCTTGCTTCTGTTTTCAAGAGTGTTACGAAGTTGTTTTGAAAACTTTGTTTGAAAAGAGTGTAAGTGTGGAAAAGATTGATTTTGAGCAAGTACCTACTAGCATCTACCTACACGAAAAGGGAATGTTTTTGTTCTTGTTTCCTTTAGACAGCGCTATCCTACTATTGTGAAATATG